ATTTAAAAATGGTTTCCTCATGTGTGGGAGCGGTGGTGGCCAATTTAAAGGCTGAATTCCTGTTCAGAGGAGCCTTCACCCCTCTCTTGCTCTCTCCCTGCTGATTATAATACACTCTACACCCCAAATCTGTGCCCAAGCTGGGGTGCCCCATCTGCCTTTGAGATGTCCTCAGGACACATCCTGGGGGGGACAGGTCTGCATGGAGCCGTTCCCTGGGATTTAATAAGACACTTATTGTATGTTAAATATCAAGGGCTGATAGGAAACATGTGTCCCGAGGATTAACAGCCGTGTAAAAGATAAAGCCACGAGTTAAACTCCAAAGCAGAGTGTTTCAAATAACCCTTCACGGCTGCAGTCTGCACTTATTGGGGTAACCAGGACTGGGATGGGGAAGGTAAAATGTGTACTGCAGCTCATGGTGCTCCAAAAAAATCCTTGGGATGGGCTTGGAACTGGGTTTTCTCCCAGCAAGGTGATGCCCAGGGATGCCGGATCACACACGGGTGACATCAGCTCCTGCTTCTCTCATTTCTTCCTCCATTTCCACCTCTCCCCCTTCCTCTAATGTTTTTTTTTCCTATTTTTTTTTTTTTTTCCCAGGCCCCAGTTTCTCCCCTGTCGAGGCAAACGCTTTGGCTAATTAGCAAAACGTGTCAAAGAAAATGATTAATGTCCCGGGAGGAGGCTGAGCTGCCTTTGTGCCAGCATTGCCTGACTTCTGCTCTTAAAGGTTTTATTAAAAGATAAGGGAGCTCGTGACGGGTGAGCAAAGCGTGTTAAAGGGTCGGAGAAGCAGGGGATGTGGGGCAGATTGGGGTCACCCTCGGAGGGAGAGGCCAGGGCTCATGTTTCCCTGCCTCTGTGCGCCACCGTCACCGCGGTGTCTGGCCTTGGCAGGGGAAAAGACTTTAAAAAAATGGCTGAATGGCTCCTTTATTCTTCCAGGGGCAGGTAACTCAATCTCCTCAGCTGGGCTATGAATGTTGCTGTGTTACTGGGCTCTTTGAGAACGATGCTTTAGGGGGTCTTGGGCATCCCAGGGTGGGGCTGGGATGCTGAGGATCGGGCAGAGCCAGGCTTGTGCCCAGGACGGTGGTGGCAGCAGGGACAGAGGTGCTTGGGTAAGGGTTTGATGGCCAGAGAGGTGCCCATAGTCAGGCTCGAGCCCAGTGGGACAGCCCTGACCCTGTTTGCTGTGGGCTGAACCCCCATCCCAGCTCCCTCCCAGGGCCAGGTGGGCAGCAGAGGCACAGGAAGGAACCTGAAGCAGGGTCCCACTGGGCTTCTGTCAGGACCACCATACACAGCACCCAACTGTCCTCATCTCTCAAGGCTTTGGACATATTTTCAGCAACCCTCAAAATATTCTTGCAAACCAAACCCCTTCAACCCCCCAAAACCAGCAGCTCTTGCAGGGGGGTCTTGCAAAAGGCAAAAACTTCTCAGCAGCTCCACTGTGGGATCACATAAACCAGAGCCAGCAGTGCCAGAGCATCCTTTTGCCATGCCAAAATCCCGTCTGGAACAGCAGCCTGGGAACAGGGAGAGGGTGAGAGTGGTGGGAGAGCCATCAGCAGCACTCTGGTTATTTTATCAATCCCAGCAGACATTGATGTCTGCAGCCACAGAGGCCCAAACCCCTGGATGCACATCAGAGGGGTTTTGGGAGGGGGCACAGCTGGCAGGAGCCTCGGGAGGGGCTGCAGGAGCTGCTCTGTGAGGTTTTCCTCCAGCAAACAGACCTCTGGGCTTAATAAGCTATTTGTAAAACTCGCAGTGGATAAACAAGAGGCCGTGTGTCAGGCTGAAGGCGGCCTCGCAGGGCTCCGCCGCGCGGGGTGGGACCTCAGCACAGAAATATTTTCAAGATAAACAGAGGAAAATGAGTCCTGGAGGAGGCCAGAGCCGCTGGCAGCAGCACGCCGCTCCTCTCCAAGATTATTTCGGGGCAGGAACTTGGCTTTCTGCACACTGCAGCTTTTTTATTTTCCCTGCCTCTGAAGGGAACCTCGCGTGCTGCTGATTCAGAAATAAACCTGAGGAGGGGTTGGCACTGAAGGCAGCGGTGAGGAGATGTGCAGAGCCCGGGGCTTGCAGGGGAGTTTTGGGGTGAGGGCGAGGAGCTGGGATGCACAGCTGCTGCTGCAGATCCCCCTGGTCACAGCTGCCTTCCCTGGAGAACCCTTGGGCTGAGGTAACAGTGTTGGGTTGGGGATGTTCAGCCTGGAGAGGAGAAGGCTCCAGGGAGATTTTAGAGCCCCTTCCAGTGTCTAAAGCGGCTCCAAGAGAGCTGGAGAGGCACTTCAGACAGGGGCCCGGAGTGACAGGACAAAGGGGAATGGCTTCTCACTGACAAGGGGCAGAATTAGATTGAATATTGGGGAGAAATTCTTCCCTGTGGGGGTGGGAGGCTCTGGCACAGGCTGCCCAGAGAAGCTGTGGCTGCCCCTGGATCCCTGGAAGTGTCCAAGGCCAGGTTGGATGGGGCTTGGAGCTGCCTGGGATAGTGGAAAGAGTCCCTGCCTGGAGGTAGAACAAGATGGTCTTTAAGATTCCCTTCGACCCAAACCATTCTGGGACTCTGTGACTCCAGTGTGAGCAGCAGAGCTGCCCTGCCTGGCTGCTGGTGCCTCCTGCCCTCCGTCAGCTCCTCCATTCCCCAGCAAAGGTAGAGGCAACTCCATGGTGCCCCAGGGCAGGATATGGGCACTGCTCTGGGAAATGGGCTGGGATCCATCCTTCCATCCCCTCTATCCCCCCAGCCCCACCGTGCCCTTCATCCTCCCCAGCCCCTCCATCCCACCACACCGGGGCTTTGGTGCTGGTTTCCTTCTCCTCTGTTCTGTGCCTTTAAACTCCACAACCGTGGATTGACACCCAGCCTGGGGCAAAGCTGGACATGGGGCACCAAGGCTGGGACCAGCACAGCCTCAGCAGCCCGCATCTCCCAGCCTATCTCTCCCTCTCTTCCCCACCCCCAGCAAATTTAATTAAAAGTCATTCAGATTCCTTTGAAAGAAAATGTCATCCGTCGACACAATTACACTTTAACTAACCAAAGCTGTTACAGTTCCTATATATATTGGAATCAGGCTGTCGTTATTAGTTCTAAGTAAGTAATTTATTCCCATTATTGTGTTCAAATTACAGGATATTACCCCCTGGGGAAATAATCCTGTTATTTGAAATGTAAAAAAGAATTCACATGGACAACAATGGATTCCTAAATGAACCCAACAACATCCCCCAATCCCAGTGTGGCATCACTTGCCTCAGATAGGGAAAATATTAAGTTTCTTTTAAACAGGTTCTTGTCTCTGCCCTTTCTCTTCTCCTGCCTCAGGTAAGGTAAAATGGGCTCCTCCTCTTCTTCAAGAGCATCAATTTATTGAGGGAGTCCTGGATGTGAAGGAATTTGGTGGGGAGCATAAAGCATGTCTGTGCATACATATATATTTATATATATATATATGTGGGTGTCTCTTTTTAATCTGGCGGTGGGAAGGGAGCCCTGGGATGGTGGGATGTGAGTGCCCAGCACAGCCCCAGGGGTTTCTGCTGGAGCTGGGAACCTGTGCCTTCCTCCGGCAAAGAGCTGCCCAGGTTCTCCTGGAAACACTGTTCCCTTGATCAAGATCTTCAGTGAAGGCAAATAACAGCTCGCCTCTGCAACACCCAAACATAAGCAACTAATTTGGACCACCGAAAGGAAAAAGGGGGAGGAAAAAAAAAGAAAAAAAAAAAAAGAAAGAGAAAGAGGAGGAAGAGGGAGGGGAGGGAAGAAAATCAGATACACTTGTAACCTGATTACAACAGCCAGCTATGTGTGCAAAATCACAATGCAGCTCTATAATTAAATCTCTCTTTCCCCCTCCTGCCGAGCTCTTTCCTCTAACAGGCGCGGTACAAAAACAGTCGTTAGGACATCAAATTCCAGCTCCGACAAGAGGGGACTTTTTTGTCTATAGCTGCTCGGCTCGTCTTTAAGGAAATAATAATTATAAGCCCAGTGCCGCTGGCTGACGAGCTTTGTGGAGCAGAAAGGGCTCGTCTTGTCCAATCACCCCTTCCCCCATGCAGAGGGCTGGGTGATGGGAAAAGAGATGGGATAAACCCTGGGAGCCAGCCTTGGACACCCCCAACGTGTGCTGGACCAGGGGGAGAGGAAACCCTGGGGTCTAACAAGATGCTCGGAGTCACAGAGACTTCTTCCCCTCTTCCCCTGCGGAATCCACCCCACTGAGCTTTAGCAGCGGCAGTTTGGTGGCACAGGGCGCTCCCGGGTGGGTCTGGATGTTTGGGAGTGTGTAAATCACCTGTGAGGGATGTGAGGAGCCAGCGGCTCCTGCCCACAGCGCTTTCCCAAGGGTTTCTGCCCTGCCTGGTGCTTGGCTTCTCCAGCCGGATCTGGGCTGCAGGGTGATGGGAGGATGCCATGGAAGGGATCAGGTCAGTGAACCCCAAAAGCAGCAGGGAAGGGACCCCCAGCACCGTGGATGTTGGGGGGAGCAGTGCTGGCAGCCTTTCCCCAGCCCTGCCTGTTGAAGACTTGGATTTACTCCAAATTGGTTACAGGGAGCTATTCCCATCCCTGTGACACCCAGCACGTGCTTTTGCTGGCAGCTGCGGGCTGGATTCAGCCTCAGGGACCCAGTTCCTCGAGGGCAGGCTCCTGCTTTCTTCCTCGGGATATTTTTGGGAACAAGTCTTGCATCCCATCTTCTTCCCTGCTGCGAGTGGAGGGAAGGTGCATTGAGCTTCTTGCAAATGGTGCAACGACTCACAGGATGGCGAAGGAAAAAACCCTGGCACCAGGAAAAAACCCTGGCACCAGGAAACCCTCCAAAGGGCCCCGAAGTGCAAGATAACCACCAGTGAGACAGGATTTATCCCCCACACCTCGTCACGGCAGCTGGCACGTGCGGGAGAGCACGACCGAGGACGGACGCGGGCTTTGCAACGCGCGGCATGCGACACGGAAACTCGGATGCTGCTCCAATAAAACTGTGCAGGTTTGGTTTTAATGGCAATTAACAGCTGTTAAAAGGTGAAGGATCTATTCTGCTAACACCCAGCGCTTCTCATGCCTTTCATGAAGGGATTTGAAAATAACATTTGTGAGTGTTAATTTTAAGCCACGGTAATGTACCCCGGGGAGGCGGATGGGTTTACCCGGTTTTCAGGCAGGGAAGCTGCAGCAGGCCAGGGCACGGTGTGGGGATGAGCATTCAGTGCTGGCAGAGGTGGTGAAACCCATCTCTGTCTCTGGAAGAGGGATGGGAGCAAGCCGGGGACCAGCTGGCAACATCAGTGCAGTTTTCACCAGCATTTCCCCAGTCTTTTATTTTGTGGGGAGATTAACTTGGTGCAAAACCAAAGGCACTCACGAGTTTAACCTTCAGCAGGACCCTCGCGCTGGGGGGGCACGTAGGAAATCATCTTTCCCTGGGAGATGCTGCAAATCTGGATTTTCCAGTTCCTGGAGGGCTCTGCTTGTTTAAATTAGAAGCAGATAGGAGAGGTGAATTTTAAGAAGGACAGAGCAAAGGCACACAAGTATGCAGTTAACTTCTAAACTTCTTTCTCTGGCTCTCCCGCTGAGTAAATGCTTTAGGAGCTTCAAACCACAGCTTTTAATATCTCCTTAACATGCCCCACGATTCCTTCCCCCCTGTCAAAACAGCGAGAGCAGCTGTGAATATTTTCCATTTTAGAATGTTTTGTATGCATATGAAAGTACCTGCAGCTCCAGTGGGCTGGGCTACGGAGAACTGCTGAAGCCAAGGGTACCTATTTTATATCAAACCTCAAAATAACACATGCTCCTGCCTCTCTCTTGCTCGTGTCCTGCATCCAGGAGGGTATTTTTGATTTAACTGACAGATCAAGGGAAAAATCCCCAATTTACTCTGTTGATGCAGAAGGTCTTGTCATTCTGAGCTCAGCTCACCTGGATGGAGGATTGTTTTAAACTCCCAAATGCAGGACCTGTAATAGCGGGGTGTTGTATGGGGACTGCAGTTTTGAGAAGGTTTCCCATGCACGTTTCTCCACTAAACCACATTTTTTCCGCTGAAAGGTGTAACTGCCGTTTCCGTGCCTTACAACCAATTTAGCAGCTGATCCGTAGCCAAAAAAACGCAGGCAGTAATTACAGCTTTGGGGCTGGTGCTCCTCTCAAAGCCCTCTATGGGTTGTGTGTGTCAGCCCTCCTCCCTGCCTATTTTTTTCCCCCTGATCTTGGATGAAAAAAGCTTATTATTGGGTAAAAGGGAAAAAAAAAAAAAAAATCCAGCCTGATGTATCCAAGAGCCAGCTGTGAAAAAAGCCCAGTACAGGGGTTTGGTGGAGGTTGTGGAAAGCAAAGGACACCCAGCGTTGGGCAGGTCCTGACATTGGAGGTCCCAGCTTGGGATTTGGGGTGGAAGGGAATGCACAGGTGGCAGAGCAGGAAAACAGGGTGGGATTGTTCATAAATACCCACCCTCCTGTGCCAGGCAAGGAAAAAACCCCACCAGTCTGTATTTGGATTCTAAACCGGCCTGATCTGGGACGTGTTTGTCTTTACAAACCCCAGAGTTGGGGGATCAGAAGTGCTGTGAGCTGGGGGGAGGGCACCAACCACAGCTCTGTGCACCCCCAGCCCCTCTCCCTTCTTCCCTGCTCCGGCTGGGATGCTGAGGATGCTGCAGCCTCCAGCTGCTGCCAGGCACTGGCTACAGCCCTGCTGGGGGTTATTTCTTGGGCTCCCCCCTCCACGCAAAGCCTGCTGACAGGCTGAGCACAAGGGTTATAATCAGCCAGGATTTATGGAGAAAACCGAAATCCCGAGCTGTTCTGGTCATTAATCAGAAATTCTTTGCTCAGTTCCCAAACGGTTTCCCTGGGGATCTCCTCATTGGGACCCCCCCACTCCACAGCCCCCTCCCCACGGATGGCAGCTCCTTCATTGCAGGCACAGGGGCTGGGCTGGGGAGAGACCCCAGGCTCTGGAATTATCCAAGCCCCCCCATCGATAAATAAATCGCTAAGGATGCATTGAAATAAACCCCAGCAGGGCCCCCCTTGCCTTCAAATCCCACCTCTGTCCTTACAGGGTTTTATTTGGGGGGGGATGGGACCTTGCTGTCAGACTGGGTTCTGATTTTGAGGTGGGGGGGGGGAAGGAATGAAATCAGGGCAAAGCTTTGCCGACGCGTTGGGATCGTCGCCGTCCGCGTTTTAATGTGATTTATGCCTGGATTTCTAAATCCAGCCACTGACTGCATGCTTTAAATATAGCTCCAAAAACAGCCTGAAAACGTGTAGTAAGCACGTTAAAAACAGCGGGCGGAAAGGATGCACAGCACCCCCCCGGCTAAGGATGAGGAGCATGGGGGGTTTATTGTGGTGGATAAAAAGGGGATTTGGGGGGGTCCCAGCAGTTGGGGATGGGGGTCCAGCAGGGCCTGTGCCCAGTCTGCAGATGCAAAGTCGAGAGCTGGGTTGGCAACGAAGGGGTGAGTGTCCCCCACCCCCCCACACACACCTTGGTGGCCCCCCAAAACGGGAGAGATGGGTCGGGGGT